TTTGTCCATGAGAGAAAACATCAGGTGCAACTCTGTGGTGAAAGCAAAGGCGTCATCCCTGCTTTTTAGAAAGATTATGACTCAGAGTTATGGAGCAGTCAACAGCAAGGAGGTGGGCAGTGTTATTGCTGCAGAGAGACCCTAAAACAGATGATATACTGCAAGAAATAACTCTGTGATGCCCCAGTCTTTACCAGAATCAATACATCTTAAAAAATTAAGACTGAACTAAATCCCTAAATGCGCATTTCTGCACTAGTGACATGTCTCTAATGTTCATTTTGTAGCTACATTATAACACGAGCAGAAGATGAGCTACTTTAAAATCCATTATTGTGGAAGGCCTTTGTCAATTTTATGAATTAAACCACACACACAGAGATGCATTAATAATATGGATGGGTGGTTAATGCAGCCCAGAAACTTGATAGAGGTCTTAATCACAAAACAATTCTCCAATACAAACTTTTATGTATTCCTAAGATTTTCCATATTGGTCATTTACATTGCAATCGTGAAAAATGTCTGGAAGAAAAATGCTACATAATCTCTGGGTAGGTTTAATGCACCAGGATGTGTTCATCTACAGTGAACAGCAATGTGAGCAAAAGAAAAGAACAAGATGTGATACCAGCAGCTAAAATATCAAATTCAAAACTAAATGCATCTGTTGCAATGAGCACAGACTACCTTTAATGTATAAAATTATTATTTTGATATAAAAACTCATGAATAAGTCTCAAAGCTTGGGCACAGATACAAGACTTGAAAGCCTCTTATTATTAAAAAAACAAACAAACAACAAATTCATGTCTGAGTAACGAGTTTCAAATCCTTATTTTTGGTTTTACTTTAACCTGAACAACTTCTGCACTTCCTGCACTCAGTCTGTGTGTTTTCAAACCAGCGCGAGAATCAGTTTTGATCCACTGAATACCTCTTGTTATTAACGTTATGAAATTTGGTGTATACTATTTAACCAGTCTCCCCCCCGCCAAGTAAAAGCTTTGGATCCCACAGGACACTCAGTTAGAACATCAAGTGCTGTGACAGACGGATCTATCGTGACGACCTTCCACCTCACACGTCGCCTTCTGTGTAAACCTCCGACTTGGTTTTAGATTAACGAGGCTGGTCATACTATCACACAGGGATGTTGTACAGATGCAGAGAGATTTGTTCAGGCTATTTTCTAGTGCAAACCTGAGCTGGCTGAGCCTTTGGTGGGAACAGTCCTGCCGTACTCACTCTCTGTCTCATTTCGTTTGATCATGCCCGGACATTCGGCTAAGATGGTCTCCTTGAACGATGTTACTAGCGCATTGACGCAACACTCCATTAACTGCAAAGATAAGCAGAGGCAAAAACACTCAGAGACAACGCACGTGCAGATATCAGAAATCAGCATTTTTGGGACGATCCTTCAGCATTTTCTTTCCAAGAGTAAGAGGAGAAGACCAAACTTGGAATAAGCTCATCAAGGAATAATAATAAGAGGAAACGTGAAATAGGCTTTGTGTGAAATAACCCAAGGATTAAAGGAAAAGGAAATATGTGAAAGGAACACCTGGCCACATCTGTATACTACTCACTATACTACAAACAGCAGTTTGTAAAAACTGCAGTTCAAGGGAAATTTACATACTCTAAATATTTATTTGCAATCTTTTAATCACACAAAGTAAACAAGGATATTTTAAAAAGTTGCTTTTTGTCTTTGATTTCTGGGTGAAAATCGTGAAATATGGCAGAAACTGGCACAATGATTTTTACTGTAACTTGAAAAAGAAGAAAAAGCTTAAAAATTAAATAGAATATAAACATTTAGAGACCACAGAAATTGATGTTCATGTTTACAAAATTTCAAACTAAAACAATGGAGCTTATACTAACTGCTTGTACAGAGTTGCAGTCACGTCTCGTCTCTAGGTAACGCAGGGCACGTTTCTCCTCTTCCCTCAGCTTCGAATCAGCCTGATGAAAATAAAACATATATATGGAATATTTATGCATGTTAGAAAAAGCTGAAAGTAAACATATAAAGACGAAAAGCCGGTAAGTTTTAAATGTTTATAGTTGGTATTTCACAAATATGGGATAAATAAAGGTAGTTATAATAGCAAGTAAACAGTGAGCAGCAGTTCCATTAAAATAAACAGAGAAACTGGGAAATCTGTTTTCTGGCCCAGGAGTGTTACTCACATATTTCATGTAGTTTTGGACGCCGTTCTGCTGGAGGTAGGCCGGTGCTTGTGTTCTGTAAAACCTCTCAGTAGAATCCATATACGCTTTTTCAAAGTTATCCCTGTAGATCTGCAGCTTGTCGTCGGGGTTGGAGCACAGGTTTACTGCTCAGGACAATAAAAATCATCACACAGTGAGATACAGTACGATTTTTTGAGCTTGAGGGGACGTAGGGCTAGCGATTTTGCGAGCCCTGATTTTTAAATATATTTCCCAGTTTTCCCAGGGTTTTGTGCCCTCAGAAATCCATAAGTACTTCTGAAAGGTTTTTGTGTTTTTCTGGAAAGGCAGCTAATTTTGTGTTACTTTTCAAGTGTTTTCATCATTTCAAATGTTAATAACTAAAGACAGTATTTTGGATTTTGTCTCACTTGGTGTCTTGGCCGGAGTTTATTCAATAAAGAAAGAAAGAAACTGAAAACGGAGTTTTTAAAAATCTGTTTTCAGTGAGCAAAAACATTGTTTACGTGTGGACGAAAGGCCCAAAGGCCCAAACGCATAGAAAAAACTGTGTTTTCAAAAATACCCGAGTAGGTGTGGACATCGCCTTAAAGAGTTAGTATGTTTGGTGCATTCAGATCATTGTTCTGATTGCAAAAGCGAAGAAATACAAAGAAATGAGGGGTGACTCAAGGCTTTAGCATGTATAACACAAAGAGTATTTCCAGTAGTCCAAAAAGTGTGAAGCAGACCATCTCCAGTTGTTTTGCATTCATAAACAATGTCTGCCATGTAGAACAGGAGGCCTCAGCCTCAATACCAAGCTGCTGAAACCAAAAGCTACTACGCTGTCATTCATAAGCAGTCATATTTTCTACCCTTTCTGATCTACGACTGGACAAACAGAACCTTCAGACTTCGCCTGCAGGATCCAAACAAAAGCTTGAAACAGGTGTGTCTCAGTTTTTCTCACCGTATGACTCCCGCACTCCGATGACCAGCTGTGAGTCAAAGGCCTCCCCCAGCCTCTCGGCGTGGACGAGCTTCATGGCACTGTCTTGTAGCCTGTTTTTAATGTTGGAGAAAATGGACTCGTTCCATGTGTCAAGCATGAGCTGCAGTGAGCATAGAGAAAAAGTGTTAAACACAAACATGCACACTGACGAATGTTTCTTTGGGTCACAGTAAAAAGACAGAAACAAACAAACCCACTCACCTTGCGGACGATGCTGTCCTCCATGTTGGACTTCTTGTTGCTTCCTTGCTTACCCATCAAAGTGATCTCCAGCTGGCAGAAAGGTTTGGGCAGAATGTCACACTGTGTGAAGAACTTCCTCCACTCCACAATGTACGCCTTCAGCAACGCCGTGTCATCTTGGTGACTCAGCACCCGCTAAGAAAAGGAGAGAGACACAAGTTAGGGTCAGTTTGCACCTGCAGAAATAAATTGGTAGCCAATATTTAAAGTTAAGATACACCTTAAAGAATCAGCACGAACACTGATGAGAAATTTAAACTGATGTCAGAACAGAAAGTATTTTTTTAAATGTCTGGAGAAAAAACATAGCCTGTATCTATCATTCAAACAGACACAGATAATTTTAAATCTCTGTCATAACATTCATCCAACAATTAATGGAGCAGTTCCCAAAACGGTCAGCTAACAGGTAAAAAAAAGGAGAACTTACACAAAACTTTGGGGAAGAAGTTGATAAATCTCAGTTTGAAATTGAGGCTAGGCTAGATTTTACTAAAGTTCTGTAATACTTATATCTTTTAAGTATTTTTATTACAAATGCCACACCATATTAGAGAAAAGAAAATCTGTTAAAGGGAAACCTACTCTTTAAACGCTGGAAGGAGGGACTCATTTCAGCGTGACTTTAAAGCTCTGAGTACTAGAGAGCAGAATGCCGTCCGGCCTGACCGGGTCATCTGTCAGGGGAAGTTGGCTAATGTTGGGCGATGCTGCTGCCAATTAAGCATAAAGGGGACTCTCAAAACCCAAATGTCCCTTCTGAGAGAAGAAAGGAGCAGTTGATCTTCAGAGGACTGTGTGAAAGTGTCAGCTAAGGCAGTGGGGCCAGGTTTTTCTGCTACTGTAAAGTAGAAGCAACTTCACAAATAACTGAAAGTCTATGTGTGCTGCAAAAATGATCAAAAGAGGAACTCATGACATGAATCTATTTTGTTCATTGAAACAGGGGCTGTACTACAAAGAAAGCTTAAATTATAAAAGATATTTTTTCCATATCTAGCTTCATTTATTCCAACAACAGCAATCAGACTAGCTACAAGCAGACGGACGTGAAAGATGCAACAGTGGCAGCATATCAACAATCACAACCATATTTTATGGCCCTACAGTCACACAAAACAGTGGTCTGAGATGAGAGGTTTGCAATGGTTGCTTTGAAGAAAGGATCATTTGCTGTCAGTTGTCTTCTTCAAAGCATCTTAGGTGTGTCACAACGGAGTTAAAACACCAATAAGATGCAGTCGGTCTGCTACTCATCTGTGACTGAATGAGGTTACGTTTGCAATTATATGCAATCGGTCTACGAAGATAAAGTGATTAACTGTAATAAATTGACAAAAAGTGCAAATTTGTTGCTGTCTGCATCCACAGAAATTCATGTCAACTACTTGCATTCAGTGTCCAGCCAGAACCCCGTAGATACGAATCAGAAATTGCTCCACAAATAATGAAGCAGTTTCTCCAATACGGCAATTTATTGTGAAACGACAATGTTGCTTTTATACAGGAATATACCCAAAATACAAGAAGCTGAGTGGAGCCCACTACTGCAAAGAGACCTGTTGCAGACTCAGATTGATGGTAATGGGAAGGCATCTGTCTGCATTTACAAATTAGACACCAAACCTTTCCCAATCTGTGTGAGAGTGACTGCAGTCAATATAAGTCAAACTGTGACTGTTTAAAGACATGTTGCCTCCCCTAGGCAACCTGTGCAATCACCTTGTGATCAAAAGTGATTGCCTGGGATCGAGGATATTTGCTCGTTCAACCTCTTTCTAGAAAGGTTCAGTGTAATCACTAGGAAACTGCCGATTCTTCCTAGTTGCATAGCCACAGTAAAGGAAGATAAAACTACAATATTAGAAAAATGCAAAGATGTTAAACAGGAAGGCTTTCTCATCTACTCAGATAGATACAAAAACATTTACAAAACGCTAAAATAAGTCACAAAATATACTTGAGTGTTGGGTAAGATGCTTGTATATGCTGTCCAAGCAACATG